GATAATGCAAGGTTGCATGGGTAGGGAGGTGGGGAGGATCTGGGAAGAACTGAGAAAGAGGTATCAATATCAAAATATAATGAATGGCCAGGTGGTGGTGGCACAATGCTGGGTGGTGGTGGTGCACCCCTTTAATCCCAGCACTCAGGAGGCAGAGGCAGGCAGATCTCTATGAGGCCAGCCTGGTCTACAGAGAGAGTTCCTGGATAGCTAGGGCTACACAGTAAAACCCTGTCTCAAACAAACAAACAAACAAACAAACAAACAAACAAAAAAACCAAATAGCACTCGGGAGGCAGAGCCAGGCAGATCTCTGAGTTCAAGGCCAGCCCGGTCTACAGAGTGAGATCCAGGACAGGCACCAAAACTACACGGAGAAACCCTGTCTCGAAACAACAACAACAACAAAAACAAAAACAAAAGCACCCCAAAAAAACAAAAACAAAAACAAAACCCCAAATAATATATTACTATCTAATTATAATAGAGATAACATTTGCTTTGGTGGTTTGGAAGAAAATGGCCCCTAAAGGGAGTGGCACTGATAGGAGGTGTGGCCTTGTTGGAGGAAGTGTGTCACTGTGGAGGCCGACTTTGAGATTTCTTTTCTCAAGCTTTCCTCAGAGTGATTGTCAGTCAGCTTCCTGTTGCCTGAGTCAAGATGTAGATCTCTCAACTCCAGCACCACATCTGCCTGCATGTCACCATGCTCCTCATCCTGATGATACTGGACTGAACCTCTGAAACCTCAATGAAAATGTTTTTATTTATGAGTTGCCGTGGTCATGGTGTCTCTTCACAGCAATAAAAACCTTAACTAAGATATATATATATATCTTATATATACTAAGATATATATATATATACACACACTATCTATCTATCTATCTATCTATCTATCTATCTATCTATCTATCTATAAAATGCATGAAGAAAATTTCTGTTAAAAAAATCCAGTTTTTAAAGTAAAGTTTTTTTTTGTTTGTTTGTTTTTTTTTTTTTGTTTTTTGGCTTTTCAAGGCAGGGTATCTCTGTGTAGCTTTGGTGCCTGTCCTAGATCTCGCTCTGTAGACCAGGCTGGCCTCAACCTCACAGAGATCTGCCTGCCTCTGCCTCCGGAGTACTGAGATTAAAGGTGTGCGCCACCACCGCCTGGCCTAAAGTAAAGTTTTAACTATCTTATGTACTACAAGTGGGCATTGCACATACCACTTCGGTGAATTTTGGAGCCAAATCTGAAGTGCATAATGTTTCTTCTCAGCCTTTTAGAAGTTCCCAGTGTAGTTGCTACAAACTTTTATGGTTGGTACATTTAAATTCATAAGGCATCTCTAGGGTTGCCTGGGGGAGTCAGGAAGGGTTTTATGAAATGGGTGACATTTATACTAAGTCTTGAATAATGAATAAGAGTGATACCATGTGGAAAAGAAGAAGGTCACTTTATACAGAAACAATAGCAGTCAGAAAACCTTGGAGTCACAAAGGCCTGGTGTGTGGGAGAGCAATAAAAAATTTAGTGTGTGACATATAGCATATGTGGAAACATGGCTGGTGTAGGGCAAAGCAGTGCCATGCCAAAGTCTTAGGCATTATTGTCTGGGTGATAGGGAGTCCTTGAGAGTGAGAGGTGAGAGCAGGCGGAAAGATATGGAGAGCAGGGCAAGAGTCTGAACTCACTCAGCACAAGATTTGGGAGGAGGGCGTGGCCTGGGTCTAACCTACACGCTTTCTCTCTCAACTACACTTTCCTCGTCTGCACAACTGGGTCTACACTGACTGAAATGTTAAGGAGAGTAAAAGAGATTTTCAGTCGTATGCATCTGGCTCCTGTCAAATGTTGCCCATCGCGGGTGTTAGAGTGACAGGAGACAGTGGGTAGCGCTGGAGAGACAGCTCCGTTGAGGAGATGCTTGATTTGCAAGCACAAGAACATGAACCGATTCCCAGGCTCACTTTTAAAGTTATTATTATTTTAAGAGCCAAGTGTGATGGTGTTTTCTTGTAATCCCAGCCAATATTGAGGAGACAGAGACAGGAGAATTCCTGGGACTCATTTCTCAGCCAGTATAGCCTGCTTGGTGAGATTTTGTTTAAAAAGAAAAGGGGGGTAGTGCGTGAGGAATGATGCGAGGTGGGGGGTTGGCCTCTGGATTTCATATGCATGAGCACACATGTGCACGTGTACCTCTCTCTCTCTTTCTCTCTCTCTCTCTCTCTCTCTCTCTCTCTCTCTCTCTCTCACACACACACACACACACACACACACACACACACACACACACGGAGACATAGACAGACAGACAGACAGACACACACACAGGCACAAACATACACACAGACACACGTGCACATAGGAAGACACACATACACAGACCCAAACATACACACACAGACACACACACACAGGCAGACATACACACAGACAGACAGACAGACACATACATATACACACACACACACACACACACACACACACACACACACACACACGGATACACATACAGACAGAAAAAACACACAGACACAAACACAGACAGACAGACAGACACACACACCAGGGACACACACAGAGACAGAGAAAAACACACACAGACACAAACACACACACATAGACAGACAGACAGACAGACACAGGCACATATACACACCGACAGACAGATACACACACACACACACACACACACACATGCACACACATACACGGACACACATACACACAGACACACACCCAGACAGACAGAGACACACACAAGCACACATACACACCAACTGACAGAGATACACACACACACACACACACACACACACACACACACACACACACACACACACGATGACTGAAAAATGTCTTGAAATGATCAGGTTCTTACTACCATGCTTATGTATTTTAAACAGAAATCAGCAGTCCCAACCAAGCTTCCTCCTGAAGGCAGCCAGGAGATGGGAGGGGAATCAAGGCACTAAGGGAGTGTGCAGTTTCGACATGAGCAGTTGTTCTCGTCTTCCCACATGCCTAGAACAAGTCATTGCAATGGCAGCAGCTAACTTTCAAAAGAACAGAACTCTGGGAAAGAAGATCCAACTGTTCTCTTCCAATAACCGTGTGTGTGTGTGTGTGTGTGTGTGTGTGTGTGTGTGTGTGTGTGTGTGTGTGTGATATCTAACACACACACACACGTAGAGTATAGGTTTATTTCAAGAGATACAGGTTAAGTCCAGGTACACAACCAACCCCAAGGAAATAGGAGAAAGAGCGTTTTGAACAATACAAGTGCCACGAGAGAAAGAAAATAGCCCGAGTTATGTATATGCTAGAATTAACTAGTGAAATAACATGGGAAATCTAAACAAGTGAATTAATATCACAGAAATAAAGGAGACTGTTAGAAACCTAAGTGTAAGGGAAGGTAGAAAACACTGAGCCTGGAGAATACCAAGGGTGAGATAATAGTACAAAAACAACCTAGCAGATGAATAGCATACTGGATACAGTTGGAAAGAAACAACCAACCTGAATTTTAGGCAAGAAACTGGTCTTTTACGTGCTGGGTAGAGCGATGGTTACAGGAATTTCACAGGAACCCCAGGGCCCTCTGGCTGGTTGTTACAGGGACTTTCAAATATGGCGCATTTTAGCTCTCCTCTTTCTGCAGCACTTAGAGAAATTCCAGAGATTTGGGAGGCCGTGTTAGCAAATGAAACTGCGTTCCCGGGGAGCCTTTCACCTTGATCTTATGGCTTATGCTTTGCTTGCTTTCAGATCCTTTGCAGGGATCATCTTTCTGTTGATTGCATAGACCAGAGTTACCACATTCTGAAATCTGCCAGGCATGGTGGTACACCCTGTCATGACACACCTTGTCATCCCTGTCATGTTGACTATTGAGAGACTGAGGCAGGGGGTTGAGAGCTCAGGGCCAGCCTGGCCTACAGAGAGATTTGGTTCATAAAATCAAAACACAAGTGTGGCGTTACCATTGCTGGGCTTTATAATGACTTTAAAATTCTGCTCTGTGGTCCTTGACTTGTAAAATGCTAGCAAACCCTTGGGAAATGATTCCCTCTGGTGCTGAGTGGTGGTACAGCCTTCACCAGGCCCCCGACCGACTCCGTCTGCACTCTCCCTTTCTTGTCTTCCCATTTCCAGGTTAAATGCCCCAGTCTTTTCTACAATAAATGATACCTGATAAGGGAACACTCAGGTGAGCGTTCCCTTCCCACCTCAAGGCCCTGCACCCAATTACATCTGTGAGGACTTTTTTTTTTTTTTTTTGCAATATGAGTTAATACTGGTAGGTTTGAAGAGTTAGGACCTGGTATCTTTGGTCTACTCCAGTACTTTATTTAATGTTTGTAGAATTTTCAGGTTCTGTATGAATCAAGTCACAGGGTACTTTTAGGATTTTTTTTTTTTCCATTAGAGAGTGTGAATAAGTTTAGGGGAGGCACAGTGTGCTGCTGAGTTTTTTGGTTACCTTGATACAAGCAAACTAGGGGCATGTGAGGAGAGGAAACTTTGAGAAAATGCTCCCGGAAGGTTGGCCTGCAGGCAAGTCTTTATGGCATTTTCTAGATTAATGATTGATGTGGCAGGATCCAGTTCCCTATAGGAGATGCCACCCTTGGGCAGGTGGTCCTGGGTTGTATGGCAAACAAGCGGGAGTGAGCCATGGAGAGCAAGCCAGTGAGCAGCACTCCTCCGAGGCCTCTGCTTTAGTTCCAGCCTCCATGTTTAGCTCCTACCCTGACTTCTGATGATGGACTGTAAGCAAATAAACCCTTCCTCCCCAAGTCATGGTGTTCACCAGGGCGACAGAAAGCAAATGAGGACACACAGGTTCAAATGAACATTTCCCCTGACAGAGTCCTTCCTTTCCTCCCCTGTAATATCAAACAGTTGGAAATTTGGCAATGCTTCGCCCCCTAGTTCATGAATGAATGGGAACGATGCTTAATCATTTCATTGATATTCACAGTTGCTAGGTAGCATGAGTTGCATCTCTCTCGCTGTCAGTGGAACAGAGCTGCTAAAAATAGTTAATTTCCCCAAGGACACCACCTTGCATCATGTTTTTCTAGCACTGAATAATTTTAGAGGGGACAAACACAGTCTGCCAGTGCCATGATGCAGCGTCTTCCATGGATGCAGCGAAGGATGGCCTGTGCCGCTTCTTGTAGGCTCCGTGTAGACTCAGTGCTTCCACACAAAGGCGAGGGGAGAAGTGAGGAGTAGGACTGACCACTGTTCTGTGCATCTTGAATCTGGTTACAAGGTAAGTCCTACCTATCAGATACAGCCCTCACATGTTTGGAAGGAGGGTGTTGATGTTCCTTTGGCTCTTTTTTTTTTTTTTTTTCAACAGGTTTTCCTGCATCTGCTTTCTATAGTCGGCTTTGCTTTTTGGATGTTAAAAACCAGATGTGGCAGAGGCAGTGGTGAGCTTCCACCATCTGTATCCTGGATCACAGCTGTACTGGTAAGAGCCGATCCAGTTCTTCCATTAGTAACCTTATGACCTGCTGAAGATAGCTCCTCCAGGAGATTCATTTGGTAATGTTCCCAGGAACCAAGGAACACCCCCCAAACATGTGGTCTGGAGCCTCTGCATAAGCCATACCAAAACTTATGTCAGCCCCTGATTTCCTGTGTCCAGTTGCTTTCTGCTTGAAACACCAAGCGATTGTTAGCCTGCATACTAACCGAGTATAAAGGAATGTGGAGATGGGCGGAGTTCAAAGTCCCACTTCAGTAGGCTGGGATCTTAGTTTCTAAATTTTAGGAAATTCATTTTATACCATCTTTCCAATTTTTATGAGATAAAAAGCTTGAATTTATGGGTAAAATATAAGGATGCGATTCATGTTCACAAGGTAAACCACAGCACAGCACAACTTTAGATACTTTCTTTGAACCAACAATAATTAACCAATCAGGAGACTCCAGGAATGAATGCCAGGAGGAGGCCTTGGTAGACCAGATGGAGAAACAAAGACAAAGCTTACAGCTGCTTTAATGGGCTGGGCTATAGCACTGAAAAGCCTGGTTGTATACGGTTGCTGGCCAATTCTGATGGATTGAGCTTGAATTCCTTTTTTCTTTCTTTTTTCTTTGCTTGGTTTTTGGAGACAGGGTTTTGTTTTGTAGCCCCAGCTAGCCTCAAACTTGTCATCCCACTGCTTCAGCCTGTTGAGTTATTGGGATTATAAGAGTGCTATCACATTTTGTCTCTCTGTTTTTTTTTTAATACATTTTATGGGTGTTTTGCCTGTATGTATGTTTGTGCATGCTTGGAAGCTTGAAGAGGGTGCTGGATCCCCTAGTATTGGAGTTACAGATGGTTGTGAGTCACCATGTGGGTGCTTGGAATGTGGTTTAAGCAGTATGGTTCAACACACTTAATCTCTTAATTTGAGTTTAGGTAGTATGAGATGATTGACATAGCAATTGCTATCTTAATTATATGAATTTACTGGTAACATTCTTACAATTTCCTGATTGTTCTAGGATCCAGCAGACTAATTTGGTATGTATTAAAAATATTCCATAGCAAGTTGGTCATGGTGGCATAGCTAATCCCAGCCCTTGGAAGGCAGATGTAGCTGGATCTCTACAAATCTGAAGCCAGCCTATTTTACAAAGTGAGCTCTTAACCAGTTAGGGCTGCATAGTGAGACCCTGTCCACAGTAAAGGTTCAAATGTGGCCTTAATTGGCCTTGGCTTTGGACCAAGCAATTTGAGAATATATAGGAAGACTTCTATATCACAGAAGTCATCATGAAAGTTACTCCAAGTATCACCATTAGTAATTGAGTTCCTTATGATAAAGTACCCTTCCTGTGTTATACAGGAGTATGGGGCCAGGTGGGATGGGTGGATAACCTTAGCCAGATCTATATTTGGATGTTAGCAACTGCTCAGTTTGCATGAGACTGGGCTGGGAACTGGTAACTCATATGGAATTGTACCTGATTCAACCTACAACCGAAGGCAGAGACTGCAGACCCATCCCACTAACTGTCAGTGCAGGGCAGACAGGAGAGCATCTTAAGCGTTAGCATCACCTGAAACTGAAGCTTAAGTCTAGACTGCTGGATTTTTAAGCTCTTGGCAGATGTAATGTGGAAGACAGTTATTCTAGAATTACGTCGGACAGTTTGAGCCAACCGGTGAAAAACTTCCCAACATTCTTTGCCACATGCGTGGCAAGCGTGGCACTTTACAGGGTTCAGTTCTAAACTAAGCTTTCAGTTCTTTTAGATACAGCTGTCTTAGTATTGTCTATGGATAGAAAGGAGTAAAAAGCTGTTGAGTTCCAGCAAAGTGGCCGTTTCTTGTTCTTTTCTCTTGTCTACGAGTCTTCTGTGATAGAGGATGAAAAGGCAAGGCCAGGTAGAGTTTTGGCTTATTTGAAGGTCCTGCACAGGTGCTTCTTGGGAAGCAGTGAAGGAACCCCTGAACGTTTGTTCATCTCCAGGGGATTCTTCTGGAAATATGACAGCCATGAAGTGTCTGAGAAGGGACAAGTCTGTGGCCAGAACCATTTTGATGTGGATGTCAGAGTAGAAGCAAAAGGAGACAGAACCAAAGTGTAGACTTCGATGATTCTTTTGAGTGCTGTAGCAAACCCAGATCTACTTTTCTCTGCTGCTTCTTCCTATTGGTTGATGAGAAAACCAGGAAAGCATAAGTACTGAAGCAAACATCATAGATTCTTGAACTGTAGGTGTTGCTTAAACCAAAGAATATGGTATTACTGTGTTCAGTTTAGAATACATGCCTATGGCATCCTACACACGACAGCTTTGGAGTAAAAGATGAGGGTATTAAATGGTTCTGTGTGGCAGCTTGACTTCTAGATTTTATGTTAAGTGGTGCAATATTTGCTCCAGGTACGGTGCAAAAAATTAAGGATAGATGAGTAGGGAATACTCAGACTCATTGGAAATTAATAGGGAGATAGTTTGAAAAGTTCACAGGTGGAATAACAGAATTTCTTTTCTTTTTCTGCTTTTTGAGACAGGGTTTCTCTGTATAGCTTTGGAGCTTGTCCTGGAACTCACTCTGTAGACCAGGCTGGCCTCGAACTCACAGAAATCTGCCTGCCTCTGCCTCCTGAGTGCTGGGGTTAAAGGCGTGCACCACTGCCGTCTGGCTGGAATAACAGAATTCCAAGAAGACAGGAAACATGAAACAGAAAACAAAAACAGTAAGATGGTTTATCTAAACCTGCCCACTTTGGTAGCATCATGTTAATAGAAGAAACAATGGATTAAAAGCAGAAACCTAACAAGGTTTTACACACCTGTAATCCCAACACTAAAGAGGCAGAGGCAGGAAGATTCCTATAAATTAGAGCCTGCCCTGGTCTACACAGTGAGTTTTAGGTCAGGCAGCTGCAGAGTAAGTTCTTACCTCAAAACTAAAAGGAGAAAAGCAAGCAAGTATGGATTATCAGAATGAATTAAAAAGCAAAGCATATTTGTACTGAAGGTCGGCTTCTTGAAGGGAGACGTAATTAGAATGGAGACTATTGGTTGGATGGATGGGTGAATAGATGGGTGGATGGACAGACAGATGGGAGGGGACATACCACATAATAAAACTGAGCTAAGATGGAAACTGTAAAACTGTTACAAAGGAAATTCTGACCTTTTCAGTATTAGATACCCCCTTTCCACTGTGTGCTACAGACATCTTTCCTGGCCATAATTACTTCAAGTTTCATAAGGCTAATTTTGGACTTTATTAGTTATCCCAAAACAAACTTAAAAGCTGCTATTCAAGTCAGGCATGATGGCACATACCTATGATCCTAGCACTTGGGAAGCAGAGGCAGGAGGATCACTGCAAGCTCAAGGCCCAGCTGGGATACTCAGAGTTCCAGGCTAGCTTGGGTTACATAGTGAGATTCCGTCTCAAAATGAAACAAAACAAAACTGAAAAGTGCAATTCCTAGAGAAGAACAGAAATTTGAAAGCAGTGGAAAAATGAACAGACTTCCTCATGTTTGGGGCTTACATAGATGATATTTTTGGTATAAATGTGTTTGGTTTAAGACATATATCATCAAAGTCTACAACATTGCATGTATTGCTTTGAAGGATTTCTGTGTGTGGAAAACTGAAACCATCTAAAATGTATACTATTCTGTGTTTTTGCCATCCAGTGCAAACAAAGCATTTTACTCAACAAAGTTCAGTGTTCAAAGGTTCTCTGGCTCATTTCTGCTTGCATAGCATGTTTGCGTTGAAGGTAAATGTACAACGGTACAACTTTCCATAGGATTTAAAATGGTGATCCTTAGCCGTTCACCTGGTTTATGGGTAGTTTTGACTTTGGTATAATTCTAGTTAGGAACTGTCTAATCTAAAAACGTTGTTTTTATAATAATACCAGGGAGGCAGAAATGAATAGCTTCTAGCTCCCAGCTGCTTATGTGGATGGTCTTTTGTAATAGTGGTGACATTATGTGACTAAGCTTTTCATAATTTAAACATTCTTGGTTAAATTACCATCATCGTCCTCGTCATCATAATTGTTGCTGCTGTTGTTATTTAAGATAGGGTCTGTATGTAGCTCAGACTTCCTGCCTTGACCTTCCAAATTTTGGAACTGTTGGTGTTTGATACTACTATGCTTGGTTTTAATGTCCCCTTGCCACAAATCAGAATCACCTGAATAGGGAGCCGCACCTTAGTCAGGGTCCCGATTGTCTTGATTGATGGAAGAAGACCCACTCCAACTGTGGGCAGTGCCTTCTGGGATCATCCCAGATAACAGGGGCATGATAGATCAGCTGACAAGTTAACTTATCCTGTCTTATCCTGTTGCTGCTGCTCATTCCTTTGATGATATCAGAAGCACCATCTCTAAGCTTTTGTCATGGACTAGGGGCAAGCAGCTCTCCCAGAACCTTCTAGACTTCGGGTGCCATATTGGGACTGAGCAGTGGACTGAGCAACTAGCTGGTTGTCACCTCCAACTGCCTACTGAGAGACGCTATTGTGGGGTTGCTTCAACTGCTGAGGCACCCATTGGCTTTGTTCCTTAGAGAACCCTAACTAATATAGATACTGTGCACCATTAACTGATAACCACTCAGGCTCACCTTCCTCCCTTCCTCCCTTCCTCCCTTCCTCCCTTCCTCCCTTCCTTCCTTCCTTCCTTCCTTCCTTCCTTCCTTCCTTCTTTCTTTCTTTTTTTCTTTCTTTCTTTCTTTCTTTCCCGTCTTTCTCCTTTCTTCAATAAGCTATTTTTCCTTTGCTTTGTAAATAAAAAACAAAACAAAACTCTCTCACTTTTTGCGTTTGCTCCCCCATTTTTCTTTTTTCTTTTTTTTTTTTTTTTTTTTTTTGCAATACAATTCAGTTCTACATATCAGCCACGGATTCCCTTGTTCTCCCCCCTCCCGTCCCCCTCACCTTTCCCCCAGCCCCCCCCCCCCCCATTCCCATCTCCTCCAGGGCAAAGCCTTCCCCACAGACTGAGGTCAACCTGGTAGACTCAGTCCAGGTAGGTCCAGTCCCCTCCTCCCAGGCCGAGCCAAGCGATCTTGCATAGGCCCCAGGTTTCAAACAGCCAACTCATGCAATGAGCACAGGACCCGGTCCCACTGCCTGGATGCCTCCCAAACAGATCAAGCCAAATCAACTGTCTTACCCATTCAGAGGGCCTGATCCAGTGGGGACCCCTCAGCCATTGGTTCATAGTTCATGTGTTTCCATTCATTTGGCTATTTGTCCCTGTGCTTTATCCAACCTTGGTCTCAGCGATTCTCGCTCATATAAACCCTCCTCATTCTCGCTAATTGGACTCGCAGAGATCCACCCAGGGCCTAGTCATGGATCTCTGCATCCAGCTCCCTCAGTAGTTGGATGAGGATTCTAGCACGACAATTAGGGTGTTTGGCCATCCCATCACCAGAGTAGGTCAGTTTGGGCTGTCTCTCGACCATTGCCAGCAGTCTGTTGTGTGGGTATCTTTGTGGATTTCTGTGGGCCTCTTTAGCACTTTGCTTCTTCCTATTCTCATGTGGTCTTCATTTACCATGGTCTCCTATTCCTTGTTCTCCCTCTCTGTTGTTGATCCAGCTGGGATCTCCCGCTCCCCCAAGCTCTCTTTCCCTCAACCCTCGCCTTTCATTACCCCCATTCATGTCCAGGCTGTTCATGTAGATCTCATTCCATTTCTCTGTCATTGGGTGATCCCTGTGTCTTTCTTGGGGTCCTGTTTTCCAGGTAGCCTCCCTGGTGATGTGAGTAGCAGACAATTCATCCTTGTTCCACATCTAGTATCCTGCTATGAGTGAGTACATACCATGTTTGTCTTTCTGACCATTTTTCTTTTTTAACGCAACCTTTCTTTTTAAAAAATGTACGAGTGTTGCCTACATGTACATGCCTGGCAGCCATGGAAGTCAGCAGAGGGTGTTGGATCTCCTGGAACTGGAGTTCCAGACGGTTGTGAGCCTCCAGGTAGATGCTGGCACTGAAAGCTTTTAGGTTAGTGGTTCTCAACCTTCCTAATGCAGTTTTCATAATACATTTAATAATAACACCCTTTCATACAGTTTCTCATGTTGTAGTGACTCCCAACCATAAACTTATTTTCATTGCTACTTCATAACTGCAATTTTGCTACTGTTATGAATCACAGTATGCAAATATCTGATAGGATGGTCTTAGACAATCCCTGTGAAGGATTGTTCAACCCCCAAAGGGGTCATGACCCGCAGGTTCAGAACCACTGATCTGAGGGGTGGATGCTGGGACTTGAAGCTGGGTCCTCTGCAAGAGCAACAAATGTTCTTAACTGCTGAGGCATTTCTCCAAGCCTCTTGATTATTTTCTTCTTGGCCATTTTGTGCTTTCATTACAGATAGCATTTAGATTTCCAGGTATGACTCTGTGTGTCTGTTGCACAATACCGTTCCTGGATACTTGGTGAGAAAGACTGCAACATGCACTGGACAGCATTGCAATCACTGGCCCTTGGCCCCTGTGTCTTTCATATCACTGCATGGTGGGAGCGGGGAGGAGTGAGTGGCTGGCTCTTTCAGTGCCCAGGTTTTCACAAGGTTAAAAACTCTATTTCAGATACAACAACTGAAGTACACCTGGAGCTGATTGAGATGGTGGATTCTGGACTCTGAAGTGGTGAAAGAAAGAGATGAGCTTTGGAATCCTTGGGAACAAATGAGTGTGTGCAGGAGCTGGTATACTCCCATACAGGTAAAGGGGTGTATACAGTCCATGACTAGATGTGTATAACATATGGCTGGGCGGCATTCTGTGCTGGAGTAGAGCATGCCCACAATCTCAGCTCAGCCTCCCTTAGAAAGGGGCCTGCTTCTCCTGCCTTTGAATATGCGATGAGTTCTTGGACCTTTTCTAACGAATCTGATAAGGCAGAGCGATGAATGGCGTGTGATTTGGGAGACTAGCCCTTGAAGTCAGGTCTGTTCCTTTTCTCAGAGGAAAGCAAGCTGTCATTCTGTGAGGTCACTGGGGTGGGCTCCGGAGAAGTCCTCATGGTAAGGCCCGGAGGCACCCTGCTCACAGGACACATGAGGCACCCTGTTGTAAGCCTGTGAGCTAGCCATTCTGGGAGCCAGCCTCCTGCCTGCATCCCTTAATCAGACCTTGGGTGATTGTAGACCCTGCCAATATCCTACTGTAACCACGTGACAGATTCTGAGCCAGCAACACCTAGCCAAGGCTCTTCTGATTTCTCAGCTGAGTGTAATGACGCTTGCTTGCTGTCCCAGCACTCTGGAGGTTAAGTTAGGATACCTGCAAGTTCCAGAGTATCCCAGCCTACATGTTAAGTTTGAGGCCATAATAAGATCATACCTCAGAAAACAGAAAAAAAAACCCAAAAACCAAAAAACAATTCCCATCCACAGACATTATAAGATAATAAATGTTTGCCATTTTACACTTTGGGTTCTTGGGAAGCTTTTTTTTTTTTTTAATAGCAATAGATAAGGGAGGCAGTGGGACAAAGGTCACAACACACACACACATTATATATATATATATATATATTATATATATATATATATATGAAATCAAATTGCAAAATCTCAGTGCCACACAATAGAATGTAGTTCTTCTGAGTCTGTAGGGGTTCAGCTGCTGGTATCTGGGCTGACTTCCAAAAAGTGGGTGAGCTAGGAGCCTACCTGTATCATCTTTAGTGTTCTCCCATTCAGCAGGCTATCCTAGACGTGTCTTAACTAGGTGGCAAGAAGTAATCCAATCATTCATTGACTTTCCTGTCTTTGGATATGCCTACCCACTAACGTTCCACTGGCAGAATAAAGGCCCAAGACTTAATGAAGGCAAGGGGGAAGTAGAAGCTGTGAATGCCATCGATCACACGGGAGGTGGAGAGGGACTGAGAGCTGTATGGAAGTTGGGAATGATCTGAGAGCTCTTCCAGCCACAGGGCAGTGCAGTTTGACTCACTCTCACTCTGCTGATAGCACTGGCCATGGCGGTCTTTTCCACAGAGGAGACTGGAGAGCGGAATGCAGAACAAGTTTCCTTCATTGCTCCGATGGGGAGGAGAGCCGCAAGAGATGCAAAGCCTCCGAAAACAGGCGGATGCTAAATATAACATAGAAATCAAAATGGCCACGAGGGCCTGGGCTTGCCGCGAGAAGAAGCCTGGGGCCGGAGGAGTGGAAGGGGCCGGAGGCGTGGAAGGGGCCGGAGGCGTGGAAGGGGCCGGAGGCGTGGAAGGGGCCGGAGGCGTGGAAGGGGCCGGAGGAGTGGAAGGGGCCGGAGGAGTGGAAGGGGCCGGAGGCGTGGAAGGGGCCGGAGGCGTGGAAGGCACCACGAGCCACCCACTTGCAAAAGGCATCAAAGACCGGTGTCCGTTTTGACTTGCATTTGACTCTCCTGGAACTTTGGTTTTTAACTAACAAAGTTGGCATGTCATGTTTGAAAATCTTTCCCTTAAACATTAAATTCTGACAGTGAGATTGCTCAGTAAATAAAGGCACCAAGCTTGACGACATGAATTTGAATCCTGGAACCCGCATAGGGGAAGGAGAGAGCCGACTTCTGCAAGTCGTTCTCTAATCTCTGCAAGTACACAAGATAAACAAATGTGAAAAAAACACTTTCTCAAAAAAAAAACAAAAACAACCAATCTCTCAAAAACTTTAAAAACTGCATAAATCTCTACAGCCAAGGAAAATATTTGTTACTTGGGAACAGTGTATTATTATGACACCATATGTACACGTACAGATATGAACTAAACCAGGCCTGGGGATTTGAGATACGGATGGAGCCAAGTTAGAAGCCTGTAAGTCCAGGGAAGGTGATGTGCTTAAGTTCCCTTTTACCTTATTGAGCGGGAGTTGTGCAAACTCTCCTAGGCCAGTGGCAGATCAACATTATTCTAGTGGTTCATAGTTGAGAAAACAAAAGATGTGGCGTAACTTTAAAAAAGGAGAGATAGAGAGGAGAGACAGAGAGAGGAGATGGGGGAGTGTGGAGAGAGAAAGAAAGAAAAGAGGTGGGGGGAGAGCTAGCTACCCTGGGTTGTTCTGAGCTTGCCCATTTCATTTCCACAATGTTCTTTCTATATAATTTTTCTCATCTGTAAATTGGAAAAAGGGATTATATCTACTGTTATTAAGTAAATGTGTGTGTGTGTGTGTGTGTATGTGTGTGTGTGTGTGTGTGTGTGTGTGTGTGTGTGTGTGTGTGTGTGTGTGTAAGACAGGGTATACCTGGACAGTTAATTTCACAGGAGTCTTTCACAGATATGAGCACTCACTTATCCTCTGCTTTCTCCTGGAAACTTGGGAGATCCATTCTCTCAGCCCTGGAACATCAATGTTTCTTCACTGTTTGCAGACTGAGGAGTTTGCACGAGGCTCTTTACATATTAGCTGCTCCAGTAAAAGATAATAATTCATTTGAAGTTGGGGGGGGTCTCCTTTTTTTTTTTTTTTACTTTGATTCCTTTATACTTTTCTCTCAGCTTTATCATTTCATCTGTATTTAAGTGAAGTAAGTATATTTGGAGAAGGGGCAAATTTTGCATAATGAGCCATTTCCATGAAGTGCAATTTCTTCCAAAAATTTCATACCTGGAGCTAGAGACATGTCTGACTGGGTAAGCGTGCTTGCTGTGAAAGCAATGCTCAAATTGAACATTCATGTAAAGACTGGGCACGGCTGCACTTGTCTGTGAACTCAGTGTTATGAAGCAGAGACGGGCAGACACTAGGAGCTTGCTGGAGCCAGCCTAGCTGAAATGCAGAGCGGGCTTCAGGCTCAGTGAGACGCTACATAAAACATAAGGTGGAGAGAGATGGAGGAAGATGTCTGGTGTCATCCTCTGGTCTTGGCATGCAGAATCCTGAGTGCATGCACCTGCACATACATGGGCACACTCAACAAACACACATAAAATAAAGATTTCACATGAAAAAGTGCCAATGGTCTGTAAACCATACTGTATGCAAAAGTTAAAATTGTATTATGGTGTGAGATTCTGTGATTCCCTCCCCTCAAGCCCCCGCATTTGAGATTCCCAATGTTCTAGACAGTGATGGGATTATTTTATAATTTAAAGGACAAATCCCTGCACTTGAGATTCCCTATGTTCTAGACAGTGATGGGATTATTTTATAATTTAAAGGACAACATTGAAATGAAAAGATACAATAGGGGGTAGGACAGGAATATCAAGATGCATACCAGAAATTTTGCCATGTTATATAGAAGATAGTTATTTATTTACTTATTTAGTTATTTTGAGATAGTCTCTTGTAGTCCTGGCTGGCCTGGTACTTACATATAGTCCAAGTTGCCCTTGATCTTATGTGCAATTCTCCTGCCTCAGTCTCTGAAGTGCCGGGGTTTATGGGTGCACATCATCATGCCTGGTTGCATCATGCTGTTTTTAAGCCTTAGGTTCTAAAGCGTCCTTCTAAGTAAGGTTACTAGTGGACACCATCTCACAATTTCCTGCTGTGACCGAACAGGTTCCTCCGAATACTTGAGTTGCTCTGGAGAGAGCTGGAGCTTGCCTTGTGAGGATTAAAAGAGGTCACTATTTTGTAAACACTTGATGAAAGAGATCTAGAATTGCTTTCTGTGACGTCTGTCACTATGCTGGCTTAATTCCCATGTTTAAAGGTTATTTGCTCTATGTATGTTACTCGAAGGCTAAAGATTTGATGTTCCTTTGGATACCATGGGAAAATACAGAGGGCTGAGTTTTTTCAGGTGGTATCAAGTAACAAGTGATTGTTGCCTACAGTTTCCCTCAGATAGTTATCTGCAGATGTTTCCATTCCGTATCTGTGGTACACACTTAGAGGGAATGCTTTTTCTGGTGTTGAAGGCACCATGGGGATCAAGAGATGCTATCACTGTAGTTCAAGATGTGCTAGCATTGTGACTTTAAGTGTGCTCTGAGGTTTAAAGGAAATCAGCAGAGTAACTCTGCTATCCACTCAGCAGGTCTGAAGGCACTGTCCTCAGAAAGGGGTGACATTCAAGCCTTCTGTGGTCTTGCCCTGTACTGGTGACTTATGATTTTGAGGAGGTGACTGGCTACCACCAGGTTCCTCATTAAAGAAGGCAATGTCTGTCTGTGCTACAAAGACTGAGCTTCAGGGGAGGAAGTGACGTTATGGAATGGGAGGCTGGGTAAGAGTCAGGCTGCCTTTGAACTCCCGTATTCTGTCATTCAGTCAGAGAAGTGTGCTTTAGGTCATTTACAGTCTCTCTTCCTTTTTCCCTGATTTTCTCCCCTTCCTTCCTTCCTTCCTTCCTTCCTTCCTTCCTTCCTTCCTTCCTTCCTTCCTTCCTTCCTTCCTTCCTTCTTCCCTCCCTCCCTCCTTCCCTTCCTCCCTCCCTTCTTCCCTCTCTCCCTCCTTCCTTTCTTTTTCTTTCTTTTTAAATAAAAGAAAGTCTCATTTTGTAGTCCAGATTTGATCTTTAATTAATAATCCAACTTTTTCAAACTTCTATGCCTGAGGTTATAGTTCTGTAATACCACTGGAGTTTTCCTCCAGTCCTGCCTGTCTCCAGCTGTCCGACAGCCCACTTATAAAATAAACACACAGACGCTTATATTATTTAAACTGTTTGGCCTAATGGCTCAGGCTTCTAGCTATCTAATTCTTACATCTTAAATTAATCCATTTCCATAAATCTATACCTTGCCACGTGGCTTGGGGCTTACCGGCGTTTTCATATGCTGCTTGTCATGGTGGCGGCTGGCTGTGTCTCCTTCTACCTTCCTGTCCTTCCTTTTCTCCTCTCTGTTAGTCCCGCCTATAAAAAACCTGAGACTAAAAATCTCAGGGACTTAAGGAAAAATCAAATAATACTGGTCTAAGAAAGAAGAAATAAAATGACTCCCAATGATGTTCTGCTGTATGCATAGATCAATGCCTTGGTCAGCTACCATCAGAGAAGCTTCCTCCTGCAGCAGATGGGAACAAACACAGAGCCCCAAAGCCAGACAGTATGCAGGGAGTGGGAGAACTTGGAACCTTCAGCCCTACGTGGGATGTCTCTATCCAATCCCTCCCCTCAGAGCTGGGAACCCCACAGAAAAGGAGGAGGCAGGCAGAGTGTAAATTCATGAAACACATCATAGTTTCATATTAAAAAGGACAACACATTCATTCACTTTTAAAAAATACAACACAGCCGGGCGGTGGCGGCGCACACCTTTAATCCCAGCACTCGGGAGGCAGAGCCGGGCGGATCTCTGTGAGTTCGAGGCCAACCTGGGCTACCAAGTGAGTTCCAGGAAAAGGCGCAAAGCTACACAGAGAAACCCTGTCTCGAAAAACCAAAATAAATAAATAAATAAATAAATAAAAATACAAACAATACAACATAAGATAAAGCAAAAACTATCACAACAGAGTTGGGCAAGACAAACCAACGGAAAAAAAGGGCTCACGAGAAGGCACAAAAGTCAGAGGCCCACTTGTTCCCATGCTCAGGAGTTCCACAAAAACGTTAAACTGTAAGCCACAATATACATACACAGAGGAACTTTGTGTGTGTGTGTGTGTGTGTGTGTGTGTGTGTGTGTGTGTGTGTGTACATGTGCATGCTTTTATTTGGTTACACTTTGGTGTTTTGTTTTGTTTTTTTTTGGATGTGATTTTATTCTGTTTTCTTGGTTTTGAGTTTTGTTTTTGTATTGAGTTTTTGTTTTTTTTGAGAAGGGCCTTAAAGTTGGGTGGGTAGGGAGGGGGAGAGGATCTGGAGGGACTTGGGGGAGGGGAAGAATATGATCAAAATATATTTGAATTTGAAAATTGTTTTAAATAATGAAAAATACAACCATAAAAAGGCAAAAATGAACAATACATATTATTGTAAGAAACTTGGATCCATAGAGAAGCAAAATAAAGAAAAACATTCTGCCGGACACAGAGTGGCACATGCCCTTAGTTCTAGCATTCAGAGGGAGGGAGCAGTCCGGCTGAGTTTGAGGATGGTATGGCTGACACAGCAACATGTTCCAGGGCCGGCAGGACTACACAGTGGGACCCAGTCTCAAACACCAAAACAAAACGTGCCTCCATTTGATCCTGAAGTTGCTTTAGTGCATTTTCTTCTATGTGTTCTTGCTTACACTGGTTTGATAATTAGCAACTATAACATAGAGGAATAAATTATTAATAATTATCCGTTAGTTTCTTGCTAATTTTGCCTGATTTCCTTTTTTTTTTTTGTATTGTGAATTTTACTTTTAAGTCTACATAGGCGCTCTTTGAGGAAAAGAACTGTGTTTGCTGAGAATTACCAAAGTTCATTCATTTCAAAGAATTTGTCTGGAAACTCCTGTCGTCATCGTCGTCATCGTGCAGCTACAGTTGACGCACGGATGACGAATCCCCAGGAGAGCAAGACGATCACAAGTAGCAACACAGAGGAAATCCAGTCCAGGGTGCGGCGATCCACTGGCCTCATGGTAAGGGAGCACCAGGGACAGGGTGGTGTGGGCCCTAGAGCCCACTCCCGGGCGCCATCCACCCCGCTGCAGCAAACATCTTTCGGCGAGCCCTGATTTCCTTTTTTTTAAAAAAAATAGTAAAAGGCATTTTCACTTGTAAGAAATCTGCAGAAAAATCTGAAAAGGAGAATGAAAACACTTAACGTGAAACAACGTATCTTTCTTATGTCAATGAACCTTTGTGTTTGAAAAGTAAACTTTTCTATCTTGGCTTCTGCTCTCTTTACCTCCTTGTTCCATTCTTTCACATAGAGAGCAATAAATTTTGTTCCACAAAGCGGGGGTCGTCAAGGACTCAACAGAGATTACCTGGCCCTTTCACAGTGCATGTGAAAATGGTCACCTATGGATCAGGTAGGATATCTGATGGTCCTTTTGAGAAAGTGATTTGAAGACTTCCGGCTGTCCTGAGACCCTAACTGTTCCTTACTCTCCAAGCTCTTTATTTCAGGGCTCACAGTGTGGATGAGACTGTCATGGTTGCTCTGTCACACAGTCTACACCTGTTGAAACTGTTAACATTGTTTTTCTCTCCGATGGCCTGTCCTATGTGTGTGTGTGGTAGTTTGAATGTAATTGGCCCCCATAATCTCATATGGAGTGGCACTATTAGGAGGTGTAGCTTTGTTGGAGTGGGTATGACCTTGTTGGAGGAAATGTGTCATTGTGGGGACTGGATTTGAGGTTTCTTTTACTCAGATGACTGTGCTTCAAAGTGGACTTGTGGGCTAGCAGTGCCCAGGGCTGAGCTTCGGAGGAGAAAACAGATCAATGTGGTTCTCAAGTCATCTGCTGATATTGGTGACTTGGAGTGACCGTCACCCCACCTGATCCACAGGTGGACACATGCAACTGTTCCAAAGTTCATTCTTATCTACACAGGCTCTCCTCTGCTTTCATCATGGACTGCTACTGTGTGCTGTTAGGGGGTGCGCAGGGGACATCTTCCCACATTCTCACTCTTCCGGGGTACAGTGATGTCTATGCTGTTGTGCCGGCATCATCTGCTCAGGTGACCATACAGCCATCTTTTCTCAGAGGCCTCCCTTCTACCAGCTCTGTGTGGGCAGTGGGGCCTTAGTATCTTTTCTCCTGAAGCCCACTGGTCTGCCTGGGGAGTTGTGAGTCCTTCCAGATCAGTGGACATGGTTTCCCTTTCAGGATCGGTTCGATTCTTTCGTTTTCTCTCTTGGGACTCTTTCCTAGCTTAGGAAGTAGGTTGGGATGAGCGAGGCATTCCATTCTTCCTCAGCAATGTCCCCAGTACATTTTATCTGTCATAGCTCTGTTGGATCTCCAAGTGGCCTACATTTTAAAATCTTAAAGCCGGGAATGAACCCATCTAAATTTTGCGATCTTCTGACACATTCTTCCTAGTCAGGGAGCCGAGAACAATCAGTCCAGTTGTCTGAGTAATGGTGGTGGTACGTGTGTGAGGAGAAAAAGGGGGTGTCGGAGAAGGCAAAATGGGGAAATAGGGCAATGTCTCTGTATTTGAAGAGATCCGTCTTTTTATTCTCATTTTGTTAGTCTTAACTGATACCCTCAAAGCAATTCCTTTTTCAGTTTGAAACAATCTTTTATCTTTGCAATAAGTTTGAAATAAGCAATTACTTTTTCAGGAGGACCACTACTAAAAGGAATGCCATTTGGCACATTCCCGGTGATAAATCTACGCAGCTGGTTCACGGCACTGAGGTGGTGAAACTGTGTCAGAGATGATTACCCAAGGGCCATCAGCCCTCTGGACTTGTCAGGTGTATGCTCAAATGTCTGGTTGTCAGCCAAGGGATTGAAAGCCACAGGGCAATGACTTTTCAGGTGTATTTTCTTTGGGGTGGTGTATGTTGTCATGCATGGGGTTGAGGGTGAGTGCCGGGGTTGTTTCTTTTGACTACATCTTGGCTTCTTCACTCTCTTTTTGAGTTGCTTCTTCTTCTCTGGGGTATCAGGGAGGAGCAGATGAGTCAGCTTCAATACCACAGTCTTTCTGTTTTTCATTGATCCTTCGCTCTGTCTTCTGAATCTATCACTTTCAGAAATCCGGAGAATTAAAGCTAAAAGTATTTCTGATTTGGAAGAAGGTTTCGTGTGCATATGGCCCTTCTCCCTTTAGTTTGCTTCTTGAGGTCTGGGTTAGAGGCAGGGGTGTGCTCAGATCTTAAGCAAACAGTTTGGGACTTTTTGCATATGGGCAGCCACACCTGTAAACATGGCTTTGATCAAAGCAGGCACTATTCCACATCCCTGGACAGTTGTCCAGTGCCCCTCCTCAGACTTGCCACCCTTCAGGTCACTACCACTTTGACATCTAGCATCTCTATGGTGGACTCTCTAATGTTTAGTAGACTCTTTCTTTTCTGGCAACTGATCTCACTTTTGCCTTGACCAGAGGAGGAAGGAAGCATTCTCTGGGTATTGTTTAATAAATGCCCACTCTCTTGTTCTGTCATTTAGAGCCTATTTTTTTTTATATGTTTGTTTGAGACAGGGTTTCTCTGGGGTAGCCCTGACTGTCCTGGAACTAGCTTTGTAGACCAGGCTGGCCTCGAACTCACAGAGATCCACCTTCTTCTGCCTCCCGAGTGGTGGGATTAAAGGTGTGCTCCACCACTGTTGGCTTTTTTTGGTCTTAGTCTCATTATGTAGGCCAACATGGTCCAGAACTTGCTATCCTCTTGGCCTCCCAGATTATGGGATTATAGGAATGTGCCTCCAAACCATGCAAGGACACAACTTTTTCTTATATGAGCCTACGGCTGCTGCTTTTCTGTTAGAATTCTTTCTGAGGCTGGAGAGAACTCCAACAGAAAAGACTCAAATGCTTAGGAGAAAAAGGGTCAAAGTATAATTTGACCTGTTTGGGTTCTAGGTCTTCAGCTGCCTTTGGCTGAAGTAAATGGTTTCTCCAAAGAGCCCCTCATTTATAAGCAATAAGGACGTGGGTTCAGGTTGTAATAAATGCTCTGGCCTAAAGAATACTGTTGGAGCTGTGGAGATATTGGGACTTAAAGACTAGAAGTACTTGCCTTCTGTTCTGGAAACTTCTTTAAGGTTTTCTAAACTTAGCAGGTGCTGAAGTTTTAGTATGTTCCTTACAAATCCATGTGTGGGAAACTTGGTCACCCGGACAGTGATGGTAAGGGACAGCATCCTATCAGGGTGAGCTAGCCATTAAGGTTGTTTTGACTGTGGTCAGAGTGGTGTTTTCTTACAGAGCGAGTTCTGCCAGGTTTGTTCTGTCTTCCATCATGTCCGAACCCAGGCGGAGGAAACCTTTACTAAACGCTGAGCATGTGCCGGTACCATGCACTTGGCTTCCCCACCCTCCAGAACCGTGAGCTAATGAATCTTTACAAACGACCCAGTCTTAGACACTCAGTTACAGCAACAGTAAACAGACCGAGCCTTCGAGGGAAGACTGGCTCTCTTACTGTGTTTTCTGTCTATTTATAAAAATGGTTCGTCGAGACACTGGGTCGAAGCAATCTAGCTTAATGGGTGTTGAGGTTATGACAGTGTAGTTCTGGCAGGCGTTGATGCAAACTGTTGAAAACACAAGTCTTAATATAAGCACTGGAGTGTGTCAGCCTTTGCAGGAAAAAGGCTGGTGCTTTTAAGAGTACAGATAGGGATATGAGGAGACTTGTCAGGCTGTGGGATACTAACTTGGCCAGCTTTTCCATGATAGAAATCACACGTTCACATATTGCTTTGGACTCCCTCCACACAGAGCACACTCACTGTTTGCATGTGGTCCCTGGGACATCTCTGGGGTTCTGTCTTGCTAAACACATTTTTTTCATTGCTATACCCTGTTGTGTCTCCTTCCTTCCTTCCTTCCTTCCTTCCTTCCTTCCTTCCTTCCTTCCTTCCTTCCTTCCTTCCTTTCTCCCTTCCTCCCTCCCTTCCTTCCTCCTCTCCTTTCCTTTCTTTTCTTTTCTTTTTTTTTCAGATAGGACTTCACCATGTAGCCTTGGCTGGCCTGGAACTCATGGTGTAGATCAGGCTTGCCTCAAAATCATGGCGAGCTCCCAGCCTCTGCCTCCTAAGTGTGGAGACTAAAGACAGGCACCACCATACCCTGCAGTGCTTGTCTTCTTCTCAGCCTCTTAGAATAAATGCGTTGTTCTTCCACAACACGTTAGAGTTTATAGCTCTTTTCTATGCTTTGCTACATGGTCAGAGCCAAACTGGCTCAGTGATCATTTCTCGGTCATCAGAACTTGCTATGAATGTTAGACCCTTGCTTTGAACGCAGTAGCTATGGATGGCCTCTCAGTGACAGTGCACAGCTGCTCAGCTGGCGCTGCAGCACTTTTAATACGACTCTTGTATCCTAGCAATTATTTAAAAAAGAATTGAGATCTTTTTCCAAGAAGTGGCAGTGAGTTCTGAGAACATATGTACATACAGGTATTCATTTTGCTATCAAGAATACCGACCAAAAGCCGGGCGGTGGTGGCGCACGTCTTTAATCCCAGCACTTGGGAGGCAGAGCCAGGCGGATCTCTGTGAGTTCGAGGTCAGCCTGGTCTACAGAGCAAGATCCAGGACAGGCACCAAAACTACACAGAGAAACCCTGCCTCAAACAAAAAAGAATACTAACCAAAATGTGTTTTATTCAGAGACCCGTACTTTCTGTGAGGTCTAGATTTTAGAAATCAATAAGAGTTCTACTAGGGGCATGATTAGCTACCTGTATGTCTAGGTAAAAGATGAGCCTGTGGGTAGGAGGTCGTGTTTCAGAGGTGTGGTGGCAGAGTCAGCCACTTGTCTTCCCATTCTAACTCCATCCTCATACTGGGACGCGTACATCTTCATACGATGTCAGGAGAAACCTTACGGTGGGGAACACAGATGTGCTGAATGCCATTCCCAGCAGAGGCTGAGACGTTTTTGGAGAGTGGGATTTCAAACCACAGACCACCACACTGGCTTCCTCAGCGGCCGCCAGCAACTGCGCTCTGCCCTGACATCATCTGTCAATTCACTTGGAAGTTTCAAACAGAAGTGTCCCCATTTGCTCTTGGGCTGCATCAGTTAACTTTCTTGATGCTGTGACAAAAATACCTGAAGAAGCAACTGCTGCTGTGATAAGGCACCATGACCCAGGCAACATAGAGGGAAGAGTTTATTGGGCTTATGTGGTGGTATTGTGTTCCCCAATATATCGTGCACCCTAATAAATTTATCTGGGTCAGAGAACAGAACAGCTACTAGACAGGCATAGAGGCCAGAAAATGGTGGCACACACGCCTTTAATCCTAGCATTCCAGAGGCAGAGATCTGCCTGGATCTCTGCAAGTTCAAGGCTACACTGGAAACAGCCAGGCGTGGTAACAAGAGCCTTTAATCCCAGGAAGTGATGGCAAGAAGCAGAAAGGTATTTAAGGTGTGAGGATGAGGAATTAGAGCCTGGTGAAGCTTTTAGGCTTTTGAGCAGCACAGTTCAGCTGAGATCCATTTGGATGAGGACTCAGAGGCTTCCAGTCTGAGGAAACAGGATCAGCTGAGGAATTGGCGAGGCGAGGTGGCTGTGGCTTGTTCTGCTTCTCTGATCTTCCAGCATTCACCCCAATACCTGGCTCTGGTTTGTTTTTATTAATAAGACCTTTTAAGATTCCTGCTACAGGCTTATGGTTCCAGAGGGATGAGAATCTGTCATGGTGGGGAGGCATGGCAGTAGGAACCGGAAACTGAGAGCTCACATCTTCAAACAGGAGCTCAAAGCAGAGAGCAAGCTGGAAGTAGCACCAACCCCTCCAAGCACCGCCCCCCCCCCCCATATGTCCTTCAGCAAGGATCTCCTAAGCCTTCCCAAACAACTTAACTGGGGACCAAGTATTTAAATATCTGAGCCTGGGTGCCGGGGGTGGGGGTGGGGGGCATTCTCAGTAAAGCACAACAGAATGGCTTATTTTGGCTCACAGTGTGGGCCTATAGTCCACCATAGCTGGGATGGTGGCAGGAACGTTAGGCAGCGGCTTGTTACATTGTGTCCTCGAAAAGAGATGAATACTGCTGCTCAGCTGTCTCCACTATACTCTGTCAGGGGTCGTGGTCCAAGAATGGTGCTGCACACATCTGAGATGAGTCTTTCTACCTTAATTAGCCCAGCCTAGGTATTCCCTCATAGACATGGCCAGTGGTTTGTCTCCCAGGTAATCTCTAAAATAATAATAATAATAATAATAATAATAATAATAATAATAATAATAATAATAATAATTTTATTAATGTGCATATACTTGTGTCTCTGAGTGTATATGCACATGTCTGTCCTTGGGTGCTCACAGAGGTATTGGATTCCCTGGAGCTGGAGTTACAGGTGGTGGTAAGCCACCCGATGTCTATGCTGAGAACTGAGCACACACATCTAACCCGCCGGAAGAGCAAGTGTTCTTAACCACAGGGCCGTCTCTCTTGCCCCTCCTTGGTGATTCTTGATCCTCTCTAGCTGACAGTCCAACTTCAGTGCCAAGCCCATCGCCCTCGTTTTTACCACTTCCTGGCTTTGTGAACTCTTCTGGTAGAACGCTGTGTAACTTGACACAACTTCAGCACTCCAGTCTCTAACATGGGGACCATTACAGCTTGTTTTATTTTAAGTCGAAGGCTGCCTTCTCCGGCTTCTGGCATTTGGTGGAAGCTTCCCTTAGACTTCAGGGTTAGCTTTGTATCTTTCATGAGTGGGTGGGTCAGTGTGGTAGTGTTGTGAGAGAAGACACAGGAGGAACTAGGGAAACCAGTCTGTTATACAGGCGTTAGGGGAAGAGGTCATGGCATGGCACCCTGGGGCCATGGGGAAAAGACACTAGGATGTCAGGACGCCAGAGACAGGAAAGAGTAGAGGGCTGGGTCAGAACCTTTACCTTTCTGCAAGGAAGACAAGACACAGCAGGGCAAACAGTGTGGGGTTCAGTCATTTCTGTGGGTGTTCAGTCTAGGCATGTCTTTGATTGCCCTGGCTCTTGCTCTGGGATGGTTTGGACAGAGGACTCCTGCTTCCTGACGTATGAGGCCAGAGGAGATGCTGTTCTGGACTGGTTCGTTTACATATCTGCAGATACCTTTGAACCATACTACTTGGCCTATTCAGAAAGAAGCCTCTCCCTAGCCAGAAAACCTTTTTTAAAAGATGTCCCGATATCATACGGTGTCACCACAGTGCTGTATAATGACAGTTCATCCAACCACAGACCACACACACACACAATGGCAATCCCAGCATAGAACTGCGAGGTTCCTGTTGTCAGGTGACGTTTTCACCATCTTAACCGCGGAGGACCACGTGTCACTCACACACTTGTGGTGATGACTACAAGCCTATCGTGTGTCGCCCCAGCACAGCACAGCTATGGACAGTGGAGAGTACTTGATACTCCATTATATTGCTGGATTATGTACTTAATCTACCATGTTTTTATCATTACTGTCAGAACATACTCTTTGTACTTACTGAAAAATCAGTTTACTACAAAATAGCATGCTGGGTTATGCTGGCAGCAGCTGCATTACATCTTGATTTGATGACCTTTCTTGATTGTCTAAGAGGCCTTTTTAGAGTGACTGGCCTGTGCCCTCTAGGTTTATGTCGGGATACTCCAAGATGTCTGGACTAGGATGAAATTGCCTGCCATTAGGCGATGCACTTGTTCAACTGAACAAGGTGTGCTCAGTGTGGGGCTGTAGAACAGCTTCTAGGTCAGGCTTGAACTCCAGGCACTTCTTTGTCTATCCAATCTGACTTTGAGTCAGCGTGCCTGTGGCTGTCAGCGGTTGAGGTTGCTCCTTACCGGGATGGTGGGAAATCGCAGGTCTCACCAGCTGAGATGAGGTAATCTTGCTATTTACTAGTGCGTTTTCTGATCATGCATAACATTTGATCACATCTAGGTTCCTTGTTTCATGAGGCTTCAGCTACGTACTGTTCTGTAAAGCATGTACCTCAAGTAGGTCTTTAACAAACGTAATCTTTTTTTTTTTTTTAAAAGATTTTATTTATTTATTATGTATACAGTATTCTGTCTGCATGTATCCCTGCAGGCCAGAAGAGGGCACCAGATCTCATTACGGATGGTTGTGAGCCACTACATGGTTGCTGGGAATTGAACTCAGGACCTCTGGAAGTGTAACCAGTGCTCTTAACCTCTGAGCCATCTCTCCAGCCCCCAACAAACGTAATCTTAATCTGAGTAATAGTGTATTATTTCTGGCATTTTTTGAGGCAAAATCCATCTACACATCCTAAAACTTATTTGTAGCTCACTTGACCTTGAACTGTTCTGGCCTCTGCTTCCCAAGCACTGGGATTGTGTGTACTTGCCACCACATCCAGTTCATGCAGTTCTGGGATTGAGCCAGGTTTTATTCAGGCTAGGCAAGCACTGTACCAACAGAGCTACATCTCCAGCCTCTGGGTGATGTTAGGAAAGAGTCACACTGTGCCAAGAACTGCACTAGAAATAACTCTTGTTCAGAATTAGTCTCAAGTCTCACCGGTCTGTGGAGGTGGGAAATCCTGTGTAGACAGGTCACTTGCTGAGGTTAGGATAACAGTTTTAGTTAGACTGAAGGATGGAGGAAGGCTTTATTGTGGCTCACAGCTGCAGAGCTGTGGGTCTATGGTGCAGGGAAGGATATGGCAGAGCAGAACAGGTCATATCACGATAGCCAAGAAGCAGATTAACATGATGCCTATGCTTGAGAACTTTCTCTATTTCCCCCCTTTACTCTGTCTGATCCCCCAGCTTATGTGCTGGTGAGGCCCACATTCAGGGCAGGTCTTTTCCAAATGTCCTCACAGGCAAATCCAGAGTATGGTTTCCTAACTTTAGATCTCTCATTCCAACCAAGATAGACAAGGTTAACAATCCCAGTCATGCCGAGGGTGAGACTGCAGGGTGAGTAGGCGTGAGGCATGGAAGAGGGAGAAGGAGCATGTGGCAGTTCCAGTGGCTCACACTGATCAGGGTTTGGGGAACCAAGAAGAGGCAGACCTAGGGCTAAGGCCAAAGAAGTGAGAATTGAGAAGAGAGCAGGAGGCCAGTCGATAAGGACCTTACTTACCTTCTGTTAGGGATGTCAAACCTTATCCAGGGATGTATAGCTGCTAAAGATTTTCAAGAAATGGGTGGACATGGTCTGAGTGACCTGGAGGGGTGCCAAGCAGGATCTAATAATGCAACTAACACATTTCTGTGTGGCTTACAACCAGGAGGTCACTGCTGGCATTGTGGAGGTATTTCTCAGAGGAGAGAGGTCCAGGTAGCCTCAGATGGTGACATGAGCTGAAACAGGAAAACAGTTTCTATTACAGCTTATCAGACAATAGATGTCTTATGTGACCAGGGACTTGTATCTACTATGTTTCTTGACTACAGCATTGTGATTGAATCTAATCACATACCAAAGGTAAAAATGATTTTTGCTTTTTTCCCCCCTTAAAATAACCTTTTATAAACAACTTACTTTGAGTTATTTTGGGGTACCAGGTTGCTGTTTACTTTAAAACGTTACTACTTTCATGGGACAAGACCCATGGTAAAAGTGGGTTGAACTTACTATAATGTAATTCTGTTGGTATTTTATTAATTCAACAGTACAATATAAGATTTTATATCAAGCTCCCAGATCTCAGTTTGCAAGAAGAAAAAAAAAGAGTCATTCAAATCAAGCAGCCTACAGCCAAATCTTCAATCCAAAAGATTCCCATAAAACATTAAAAATTATAGCATGAATCTGAAATCTTGCAGGGTACTCAGAGTTCAGGTCGACGGTGAACCTTTAAATTGGCAGGACATGGTGTTATGAAACCTTGGCTTTTCAAAGTATGTGACAAACAGCTACATATTCATATATATCAATCACACACACAAGGACTGCAACTTGAAACAAAGGTCAACATTCTTGGAACCCAACAGGATCTGTGTCACCGTGCAGCTCCTGGCTATGGTAAAGATGAGTGGCAAGTGATAAAATTTTAGCTACGAAAAATGTAAATCTTACTTCCTTTTTTTTGCCAGCTTTCTTTCTCCACCACTAAAACATCATGGACCTGGGCAAATACTTCGTTTTATTGCTAGTCTATATGAGACTAAGGTTCAAATCAAATTTAGTTTCTCCCACCCCTCCCCCATGGAGTCTTGCTAACCTAGGCCGACTTTACACTTGGTTTTCTTCTGATTCCGTGTCCTGAGTGAGGGACGCAGATCCAGTTCTTCATAAGGAACAATGCTGGGTGACATTCTTGGTATTTCAAGCCTCATTTGATCCGCTTCCATCCATAGAGAATTACATGTTCATGTGTGCCAAGGTTCCAGGAGACAACTCCAATTTAAACAGCTCACCCACATTAAAAAATGCACTGCTGTGGTTTGGTTAGGAAGTATTTGTCCTGAAGGCTCCTGGGTGGAACCTTTGCTCTCCAACTGTGACTCCGGTGAGAGGTGACTGGATCCTGGGATCTCTGACCCAACCAATGGATTAAACTTTTGGTGGAGTCATAACATGGTATTATTGGGAGGTGGGTTTTAGTTGGAGGAAAGTGGGTTGCTGAGGGCATACCCAAGGAAAGATGTACCATATTTTTGACCCTTTCTTTTTTTTTTTTCTACCTCCTGTGTACCATGACGTAAGCTCCTTTATCCCACCATATGCTCACCACCGTGATGTTCACTCTGGACTCAGGCCCATAGCAATAGAGCCAGTGACCCATGGCTCAAACTTCCAAATCATGGAAAGAAATAAATCTTTCCTCATTTTAAGTTGTTTTGCTCAGGTATCTGTCACTGAAATGGAAATCTAACATAGATAGCAAGCTTATGAAGTCTGAAATAATTCTTGAATTTTCTGTACTACTCCTATATATGAAGTTATTTCCTGTGGGAGCCTGTGTAAGAAAGCTGTGAACTTACTGAGAACTATGGATGGGGCAGAGTGCTGAGTGTTCTTCCCACAGGGTGACCTTCTAAAAAGAATTGCATAAAGTATGATGAATGAACACACTTAAAGAAAGAACGTGAAGGGAATGCCCTGGCATGTCCACAGTATCCCTGTGGAAAAGGTCAAGGTCTGGGAGGAACACTCTTGGCTCTTTTCACGGTGGCCAAAGATGATAAGAGGTAACACCAGG